AGAAAGAACATTCCACTAAAATTATATAATTAATAAAGTCATGAACTACTGTATAATTGATTTACAGAACAAAAGAAAGTAACTATTTGAGATTAAACTGAAAATTAGAGATAAAGAGTATGTCTTCTTCACAGCTCGAGGCTGGCACATGGCACATGGCTCTTGAACAACATCCGATGTGTCTCTCTTATTTATAAGAATTTAAAACCCATTCAAAGAGTAAGTGTTCGTAGCATTTATAATTGTATATTATAATGATGTTTAATCAAATTTTACGATAATATATAATTACTCAGATCGTATATAATGACATAAATATTATATATAATTTGTTTGTTTGTAAGAAATATTGTTTTTGATTTCAAGAAATGATTTACTTATATTTAATAACTTTATATTGTTTATCATTCCTAAACTAGAATAATTGTTTCTTTTCTAGGAATGGGTTTTTTGTTTTGTTTTGTTTTATTTATTTTTTTATGGTTTGTTTGGTTCTTCTGAAGTTGTGATTTATGCGTCCCTGTGGCTGTGAACAAGAATGAAAGAGCCCAGGACAGTGATGAAGACAAGGAAAGAAGACACCTGAGAAGAACCAGTAGTATAAAAGTGACAGGTTGGAATACAAATATTTGGGCATTTTTATAGATGAAAGTTTATTTTACTGTAGAAATGTAATGATATGTGCTTTAATATATCATCAACAATTGTAAGCTCATTAAGTGGTTTGATATTACTCCCTTCTCTCAGTTACCTCTAAGGTTGAAGTTAGATCATAAGTAACCTTTATGAATATATATATATTTTTAGTGTGGGTTCTAAAGAGTACTTTTGGAGAAACCACACATTGGTATTAACAGATAGTGCCCCTCTGGATAAAGTCTGAGTGGTTCCCAGAGCAAAGAGAAGTAATAAGGTCTTTGCTAAGGAGCATAGAAAAGGGTGGGCGCTATATCGCTAACGTGTGTCAGCTGGTGCTGACTCTGCTTTGTCCCTACCCACCGTGGTGCCCAGCCACAGCAGTAACCTCCAGGCGACAATTGCAACTTCTCGCGGCTGGGCAGGGCGCGAATCGCCGACATTTCATTTTTAATTGAATTCAGTATTTTATACAACACCTCGGATGAGAGGCCAGCACGTTACCGCTGCTAGTACAGCGAGGGAGACCTCAGAATATCATTATTACGTCACCTCTAATCACCATCATCATTGTAAGCACAATAACTTCATGTCTGAAGGATAAGAGGACTCAAATCACGAAAAAGAATCTACACTCTTATTGTTGACATGAAGATAAAGAAAAATTATTGGTTGCTACATAGAAAGATGATGGCAGCGTACTATTGTTTCATCAATACATACAGGAATACGCTCACACGCACGCACGCACACACATATATGTATATGTATATACATATATGTATATATGCATAAATATGTACATATATGTATATATAACTGTCTTGATACAGACAAATATAAACGTATATATATATGTATATATACATTTATATATACACATATGTATTTATATATATACACACACACGTGAGCCTGTACAAACACATATTTCTTTATATACATACATACACACGCACACACACACATATATATATTTATTAATATAGAAATGTAAAATATATATATATATATATATATATATATATATATATATATATATATATATATATATATATATATATATATATATATATATATATATATATATATATATATATATATATATATATATATATATATATATATATATACATATATTTCTGCATACACACAGACACGTGTGTATATGCAGATATGTGTTATATGTAATGTTATTCGCACTCTACATGATTATTTTACTTTGTGCCATTGGTGGTCTGAATGAAGTGAGGATGTATAACAGTTTTCCAGATTACTTCTTACGGCTGGCAGTGGTACCATTATCCAATCAGCATCTAGGACGAGCAGTGACGTCATCACCTTCCAGCCTGGGGCCGGATTTGCTACTCTCTCGTAACTGTTATCTCTCGTAACAGTTACGGGAAATATCAACGATTTCTCAACTAGTGAAGTTACGACCCATTTTCAAACACTATACAACGAGAGCGTAGGGACCTGGTAACCGTTACAACCGTGTTTATTATCGCTAGGTATCGTGGGTCTTTTTTTTCCTAAATTCACATAAAATGTGATTAAGTAGTATTTCCACAATGATGTTCAATTCAATAAGGCAAATAAAGGAAAGTCATGGGACTTTATTGCCAGCAAATATGATTTTCCAGTCAGAGTCAAGTGCAACGTGTCACTTTCACCAGTAAATGCTTTCACATTAATCTTCACTTTTATCAATAAACTCATAAATTCTGATATCAGTATATAGCTATATCTATATGTATATGTTATAAAATCATAATATATAAGTATATATGAATAAATACGTAAATATATATAAACATATTTATATATACCTACATACATATGAATATGTAGTGGGCCGCCTGTG